ATCGTCGGTCAAAAACAAAATTACATGAAGCTACCGTAATGAGTTAACAAAACTCTTTGTATGAACACTTCAAACAGCATGAACAAAGCAGTCGGGCGCACCGCTGCACGATCGGGCGCACGGTAGCAATTGCGAAATAAAACGTACAAATAACAAGTTTAATTAAATCGCCAAGAATGGACGGAGAGCGGAGTAGAGCGGAGGCAACAATTCCGATTGAACAGCGATAGTTTAACAAGTGAAGTCAAAGCGGCCCCATACTACCTGTACTGCAGCCGACTCAATCGGGTGAATTATTGACAAACTCATGGTCGGCTTGATGTTACTCCGCTAGTGTTGTGCCAACGTTTTCATAATTAGTTGTCGATAGACATTGACAACTTTGACCACAAACTTTACTAACATATGTTTCGTTTAATTGTACTTTAGGAAAAGTTTGATTTTCATAAAATTCTGTAATTGACATATTTAAATAAAAATTACTTGACTACAGTTTTAGAGCATGTATGTTTATTGAGATGAGATCAATTAAATGATGTTTATAACCTTAAAAATATCAAAACAAATCATTTAACTACCCTTGTTTATACAATAAAGAAATCATTAAAATATCAAAAAAACATATTTAAGGTTTAATTTTAGAATATGTCTTCATACAATTTACTTTTAGTGCGACCCACGCAAAACGTAACACAATAATTTTACGCATTGTTTACGCGGATAAGCTTTAATAAGTAGCGTTCATAAGTTGCGTCAATTTAGCACAACCATAATCCTCATTTGTCATTTCTTTGGAGAGCGAAATTAAGATAAATAAGAGGCAAGGAGTGGGTCCTTTCGCTCAAATCCCCTCCGCGCGGCGAAAGGTCATACGGGCGAGTGTGGAGAAAGTAAATTCGCACTTACAGCTCTTATGTTAGGATTGATTTTAGTAGAGATATAGTGAGGGCTTCCCGTGAGAGTAGTCCACAAATAGGAGTACGAGAATAGAGCGAGGCTACTGGACAGCCGTCTCAATGATATCTCCAGTCGGCGCGGCTAAATTTTTCAACGCTCGCCTCGTCCACGACAAAATACATGTAAATTATTTAATCCATAAAAAATAACAGTAAATAAAAACTATTGAACATAATTTATTATTTATAATATGTATTTCTTGGAAAACGGATTATTTGTTCTGAACATTTGAAAATATAAAAACTTTACAACACAAGTTACATGCTCTACCATAAGTTGAACAAAAGCCGACGGGATCTAGAACTCAGTTCGGATTTTGTTAAATCATCAAATTAACTAGTTACCAATTTTATCTGAAGAAAATAAAAGAATACTAAACTAAAGTCAGACTTAATCTTTTTAAATAATTAAGCAAATGTAACATTTGTAGTCCAATATTCAAGCTAAAACGAAATATAGATAATTACTACATTTAGTTTTAGCTGGAATTGTCTTTGTTCAAATTGTTATCACGAATCCCATTATCAAGGTAGCATTATATCTTGTAAGGAAATACCATAACACGTAGTCTATTGTGGTAGAGGTTTTGATTCGTGGTCGGGAAGTTTGTTTGGGGATTAATTTTATTGAAAGAGCACAGGTTGGGAGCAGGTAGCCGCCACGGTGGCCCGGGTATAACCCTAACATGTATGAAACACACTAGTAAACACACGTGCAAAGCAATCGTTAATACAACCATAAATTGATGTTACCATCTTAAATTAGTTGTGTTATTTACTTCTAGTATTGGAAATGGATCCATTCATCCGAGGTCGATACAAATAATAAAACATACAAAATAAACGCGCATTTTAAAGGTTCAGATTTGGTTGTTATCTTATTCTATGTTAAAA